GTGAAAGGGCAGAGGAAGTTCTCTGAAGAGAAAGACAATTTAAGGGTAGACATCCAGCGAGGCAGGGAGGCGCAAAAGAATTCGCCGAAATCTTTACCAAATAGTCTGGAGGATGCCTCCCTCCCTCCCCGCGTCCTGATCAATACAGGGCCTGGTGCTCCTTCTTCACAGCCTAACTAATATCTTTTTAATGACTTCCCAACCGGGGGAGGGGGGAGTGCGGATAAAGAGGTGCCCTAAAGCCTGGATTTCATCCCAGCAGATGTTTAAAGCCAATCTCCCTCCTCCCCCCGCCACCCCCGGGGCCAGGCGAGGTACTAAGGAAGGCGGGAGCCGCGGGGAGGGAGAACGGGAGGCGAGAAATTGAAGCGAGAAAGTTTAAAAGAGTTAAGAGGCTTTTAATCGATGATTAAAGCTGTATTTCTCTTTCGCTCCGATTAACAATGGGCTTATTCTGATCCCAGGGCTGGGGAGGGGTCCCAGTCGATTGGCTTAGGGGGCAGGGGTTAAAACTCGTCTGAGAGTTGCTGTGGCCTTAAACCCAAATATTAACCCACAAAGGGGGAGGTTGGAAGACGCTCCCTCTCCATACTGACCTCTCTTCCACAGCGGGGGGGCGGCGAAGGGGGGGCAGTTGCCCACAACCCAACCCAACCCAACCAGCTCAATCGCGCGCTCCGTGCTCCATTCTACGGGCCCACCTCACAGGGAGGGGATGAAGATGAAGAGGGAGGGCGCGCGCGTTCCAGCTGGCCAAACTCTGCTGATAAAGCTGGCGAGCTGGCAGGGTTCGGCAGGTGCGGAGCGGAAACGCGCGCCTAGGTCAGCGCTCTTGCACGTGGGAAAGTAGTCTAACACGGGCTGACGAGAGGACGGCGCTGCCTGCCGGGCCTGGGCCAGATCTACACAAGTAAGCTCGGTTAGGGGTGTCCCTTTCTCGTTGCCTTCCCTTCGGCTCCCGCCCCCGGGGCGTCCCTCTGCGCCCACCCTCAGTCGCACAAACCTGATCCCCGCACTCGCACACGCGCGTGCTCTCGCCACGCCGCCCGCCTGTCTCGCGCAGGCTGGGACACGCTTTCCTCCCATCCCTGTTCTCTCGGACACGTATCTCCTTGGCGCACTTTCCCGTACGGACGTACCGCTTCCTTGCTTTTATTTTCCTTCGCTCATTCTCTTTTGCACACACACACTCACACAAACCATGAGTAGCCAGCAATGGTCCGGTAACGCTCTAGCTAAGCAGTCGCTGCATTCCTACAACTGCGAGTAACGCGCGTTGGCTAACTTTAACCTGGGTTCATCTAGGCGTCTGTGTCTGGGGCGAATACAAAAGGCTGTTTTTTAGAAACGGGATGAGGAAACACACCCTCTTCTCCCACCTCCCTTTCACACCAACTTTCCTTTCTCTCTCTCTCTCCCCACACACTTCTGTGAACTTCCCGCTTCACGCCCCGCGCTTAACCAAGTCAGCTCGTGGGCGCAGAACGGCTGATCCGCCGAAACGGCGCAGCCTGGTTAGTTTTAATATGGGTTAGTTACTTTGTGGTTTAGCCTATTGTACTAACACGGTTCATTTATGGATCGTGAATAGGTGAAAGGAGGAACCCCGGTTAAACATGTTGTCTGAACACAGTTCCACCCTCCAGTTGTCTTCACCTACCCTGTTCTTTTCCTGTAACTTCCTTCCTCCCTCCCTCCCTCCCTCTTTCCTTCCCTCTTTTCCTCTTTTCCTCCTCCTTCCTTCCTTTCTTTTTCCCACTCCAACATTTAAGCCACACCACTCAGTACTTGCTTTCCTTCCGTCTTGGATATCCAGTATCAATTCGAGCTGCTTAAACATATATACGTTTATGTGTGCATGTGTATATGTGTGCTTTACACACACACCTATGAAAAGCAAGAGGAGGGGTAACTCTCAACCAATCCTAACCCCCTCTCCCTTTTTTCCTCACCATTCACAAATTAGCAAGGGAGAACAACAGAGATGAAGGAAGGAAGGATTCTGATATTATGCTATGGGAAGGAAGGAAGGAGGCAAGAAAGCTGTGTGTTTCCCCAGCTTTAAATTTCCAAAGGCTCCTTCAGCTGCCAAACCAACCAGCTCTCCCACCACCATCGCTGAGAAGGCGGGCAAAAGTGGAGTGGGGAGGGTGGGGGGGGAGGTCAAGAAGAGAAATATTTTATTTTTATTTTACGGCAGACAATTAAATCCTCATCAGCCCCTGTGGGTTGAGCTTCATTTGATCGTCTTTAGGACAAAGGCGCTGCCTCGCCTCTAGTCTTTCCAGGAGAAATAAATGTTCAGTCACCAGAGACATAAATCAACCTTCGCTCTCGCTGCCTCCCCCCCATTCCTATTCATGCACGGGGAGGGGTGCTGAAAGAGACTTGCAAAGGACCCCTTTCCCCTCCTGGGATCGCCCCCTCCC